AAATTTAAATATACATTATTATTTTGATTTAAATGACTCCTTAACCATATAAGTGAACTCAAGTGTAATACACCAAGCAACTTTGACATCCGATATGCAGGCTACTCTTGGGTTGCCCTTAACAACCTTGATATTTGATAAAAAAGTAAAAAAAAAGTTAGCAAAACCCTATGTTAAGCCCTAAACTTATCCTAGATTTTCAATTAAGTCTTAAAACTTTTATTAAAACAAATAAATTTTTCAACTTGACAATTTAGATAATTTTGCCCTTTTTCATATGTCAAATTTAACATCCATTTGTATGTCTTACTTGTATGAATAAAATCAATACTTATTATGTAATTAATAATATATTAATATTTTATCCATAAAAGTTATGCATAAACAAATATTAAATCTACCATAAAAAAAGATTATATTACTCTAATTACTAAATTTAAAGGTTTATTTACTTTTATAAAACTTTAAAACTTAATTGCACGTTGAGGTAAGTTTGAAAGTTTAATATAAAAATTTGCCAATAAAAAAAGTTTGCACAAAGTAGTGTAAAACAAAATCAAAATTTGAAATATATATATATAGGCCATTGTGAGCTTCAAGCTCATAATGTCAAAATGCCTCAACTTAATAAATACAAAGTGCCAAAAATACCAACGATTTAAATAATTCAGTTATTATTTCTTTCTATTAGAAGTAAAAAATCTTGAATTCAAATCGCATGATATGTGAGTGGAGTGGGATAAAAGATAAAAGATAGTCGCCTTCCATTATGCAATCAAAATAAAAAAATATATAAAATAAAAAGTAAATCCAAAGTAACTTGATGTGTTTGCTAGGTATAATATCCATGTGAATATGCGATCAATTGTGCTTATTTTGTCTAATATTATGCGGCAGGCCAGGTACGTTACCAATTTTCTTCATGTTCAAAATACTGTCGTCTACTAGTCCCTACAATTCACACTTTCAAAAACAAAATTTAATATTTAAATCTGTTTAAAAAACACATATTAAAAAGCAATTTAAATTTAATATATAAATATTACAATCCAACAATAATAAATTTTAATATTTTATTAATTTTATTCTTACTTTCTCATTATAGAAATTGACATTTCTTTAATATCTTTCGATTCTTTCCAATTATAACACATTACGTTTACAATTGTTTAAAAAACACATATTAAAAAGCAATTTAAATTTAATATATAAATATTACAATCCAAAAATAATAAAATTTAATATTTTATTAATTTTATTC